ACCCAAATCTGACGAATTCCGAATTAATTTTCCCCATGAGAAATACATGTAATGGAAATCCAATTAATCCGTTTCAGATACCCAAAAGTATTAACAAAAAATGTTTTCTACATGAAATATACATTTACCTACACAGAAAACAATGATACATGAAGAATAAAACAATAATAACATCACACTTACCTTTATTGAAGACATGGTGATGTATGGAAGACGGGAGGAGGGGAGAGGATGGAGGAGTTTACAATTGTTTGAAAGAGGAATCCCCTTCCATAAAGACTTCAGGTGCCAAGTCCTTATCCTGGGTTATTTCCCTTCTTTGTTTTTTAATGCCACTAGGACCAGCTTGAGAGTCAGTGGACCCTTGTTGCTCAAAAAAGTGTTCCAGAGAGGTCTGTTTCTGGCATATGTTAGGAATTGTGTTGGGAGACAGGACAAGATACAGTGGACCCTTGAATTTCGTGATTAATCCGTTCCAGAGAGTCCACCAAAATTCAAAATTCACGATTTTCAAAACCATTTTCCCCATAAGAAATAATGTAAATCAAATTAATCCATTCCAGACACCCAAATGTATAAAAAAAATATTTTTTTTACATTAAATGTACATTTATCCACAAGGAAAACAATGAGACATGAAGAACAAAACAATAATAACTTGACATTTATCTTTATTGAAGAACTGTTGATGTGTGGAGGATGGGAGAGGATGGAAGAGTTACTAGTGTTTGGAAGGGGAATCCTCTTCCATAAAGACTTCAGGTACCAAGTCCTTTCCTGGGGTTACTTCCCTTCGTTGTTTTTTAACACAACTAGGACCAGCTTGAGAGTCATTGGACCCCTGTTGCTCAAAAAATTATTCCAGAAAGGTCTGTTTCTGGTGATTCTTTAAAATTTGCTTAAGATGAGACAAGACATTGTCATTGAACATGTCACATACATGGCCTGCAACAGCTTTGTCAGGGTGATGTTCCTCAACAATTTTTTCCATCCAAGTCCACATTGCACACATCTCCTTAATCTCTGAAGAAAGCAACTTCTTCCCACTCTCTTCCTCCTCCTTTGAAGCAATTTCCTGAGCTGTGGTCTGTTGCTGTTGCAGATTAAGGTCTAGCAGCTCTTCACTGGTTAGCTCTTCATTGTGGTCCTCCACCAATTCTTCCACATCCTTGCCACTAATCTCCAACCCCATGGATTTCTCCAATATCACAATAGATTCCACAACTGGCATAGGGTCCTCAGAGTCTGTCTCAAACTCTTCAAAATCTTTGCCGAGGACACATTCTGGCCATAATTTTCTCCAAGCAGAGTTCATCATCCTGGAAGTCACTCCCTGCGAAGTCTTACCTAAAAGGTTTATGCAGTGGAGGATATTGAGGTGATCTTTCCAGAAATCTCTTAGAGTTTTTTGAAGTTTGAAATGATCTGCTGGTCCATGGGCTGGAGGAGAAAAGTGGTATTAAACTCCTTCATCATTTGCTCTTCCAAGTCTGGAGGATAAGCCATTTGCTCTTCCAAGTCTGGAGGATGAGCAGGAGCATTTTCCATTACCAGGAGGCACTTGAGTTTCAATGTATTTTCCAGGAGGTATTTCTTTACACTGGGGCCAAACACTTCATTGAACCAATCAAGGAAAATGTCCCTCATGACCCATTCCTTACTGTTAGCCTTCCACATCACACACAAATTAGGCTTGGTGACACTGTTTTTCTTGAACACTCTGGGATTTTCAGAGTGATACACCAGTAAAGGCTTCACTTTGAAATCCCCACTAGCATTACTACCCAACAAGAGAGTTAGCCTGTCTTTCATAGGCTTGTGTCCTGGCAGTGCCTTTTCCTCCTGCGTGATGTAGGTCCTCTTTGGCATTTTCTTCCAAAAGAGGCCTGTTTCACCACAACTGCCACTTGTTGGGGGACGAATCCTTCAGCCTCTACATAGTCCTTGAATTCACTTATGAATTTTTCAGTCGCATATTTGTCTGAATTGGCAGCCCCACAATGCCTTACAACATTGTGTATGCCACTTCTATTCTTGAAATTTTCGAACCAACCTTTGCAGGCCTTGAATTCACCTACATTAGCACTTGTTCCAGGCCTTTTCTTTATAAGATCGTCATGCAACTCCCTTGCCTTTTCGCAAATTATCGACTGTGTAACACTACCTCCTGCTAACTCTTTTTGTTTGATCCACACCAGCAACAACTTCTCAACATCTCTGATTATTTGCGATCTCATTTTCGTTAGCATATTCAACCCTTTTGCAACATCAGCTTCCATGATTTCCTTTTTCTTCACCATGATGGAAGTGATGGTTGAATAGGTCTTCCTGTACATCCTGGAAAGCTCCGCCACACGCACTCCACTTTCATATTATTCTATGATCTTTTTCTTTACTTCAATCATGTTTCTCACAATCTTTACCAAAGGGCTGGCACTAAGAGCTTTCTTTGGGCCCATGGTGGCTTATTTAGCAATTGCAAGCACTAAAACAAATGAAATATATTAAGAAATGTATCGTATAAATGTGTGAGGTGATCGTCACTCGCCGAGATACAATGCCAGACACTGAATGGTGTTTGTGTGCCCACGGTGGCTGGAAGGCCGCTTGGACGTGTTTCATATGACCACCAATTTCTCAGCCAAATCACGAAAATCAAGCCAATATTATGACGAAAAAAGTCGCCGATTTCCAAAGTTCACGATATTCAAGGGGGACGAAATTCAAGGGTTCACTGTAGTCCTTCAACATGACACTAATATCAGCTCTATGGCTTATTGATCTTGCACAATACATCTAATATGACATAATAAACAATATTAATAACATAGAAACATGATATATACTCTAGAATGAATAAAATATGGCATTAAGAATGTCACAAGTGGTGGTGTGTTGTTTGTTGTTGGGTGTATAAGGGCCACTAAAAGATAAGCCTTACATAGTGGTGGTGAAGGCGGCAGCAAGAGGCAGCAGAGGCGGCAGTGTTACCAGTAGCCCTATATACCTCCAACAACAATGGAGGAGTCAGTTTCGTACTGTCCTTTTTCTATTGATTAATCGCTTAACTTACTTGCTACACCATTAACCCTTTGAGGGTCGACAGGCCCTCTCAGAAACTCGTTCTCAGGGTCGGCCAAATTTAAAAAAAAAAAAAATATTTTCTCTTATGAAAAGATAGAGAATCTTTTCCCGATCATAAAGACACCAAAAGTTTGAAATTTGATAGAAAACTTACGGAATTATGCTCTCGCAAAGTTAGCGGTCTCGGCGATGTTTACGCATCGGCGATTTTGCCCACTTTGAGCCCCATTTTCGGCCAATTTCACTGTACTAGTCGACAAAAAACATGAATATTTCGCTAAGAACTCCATTTTTTCTATCGAATGGTGCAAGAAACCACTCATTTATGAAATTCAACTATCCAGTACAGTGGTCAGAATTTAGTAATTTTGCCAATTTCACACAAATTTCAAAGATGCCAATTTCCGAATAGGGTCCAGAATAAACAAGAAAGACATTCCTGGCACTAAAATGACATTTCCTCTGGTCATTAGTCACGTCTCAAGGCCCCTCTTATATTCTTTTGCTTCCACTTTGAATTTTTATTTTCACAAAAAATATAAGATTTACTGTTATGCAGACTACTGCATTAGTGTAAAAAATGGTATAAATATTATTAGTGCACTTGTGAAAGATATTAGACTCACCAGTTGACGTGTATTGCACGCTTGGCACGATTTGTTTACTTTTGAAGTTTGGTAAAAATCGAACATTTCTGCTACTTTGAGCTCAATTTCAAGGCACCTTTCTTTGTAAAACCCAGTCAAAATCATCTCAATTTCTGTAATATGTCTTCCATTCTATAAAATGAGACCAAGAAAACTAGAATACAACAATAAATACCATACGAAAATACACTGCAAAGTCGCTGATTTATTAAAAAAAAATGGTCAAAGTTTTTTTTTTCTCATTATGCACTGTGTGCTGCAGGATTTTTTTTAGACTGTGCACACTGACCACATAGACCCATTCTTTCATATGAAGGCCTACGAGCTTTCTCCCACTAGATTTGAGGCCGCTAGAATTTATGAGTACTAGTACGTCAAAAACCCCTACGCGTAAGACGTACTAGTACGACGAAAACCCTCAAAGGGTTAATGCTACATTTTATCGCTGGCTGGAGCTATAGCCTTTATCAACTCCTGCTGTTTTAGTACTGTACATATTGCAGAATCACTGAAAAAGGCACATTCTCCCCTCTCTCTCAGCCCTTTAACAAAGGGCTGGCTGACACTATGAACTTTCTTTGGGCCCATGGTGGTTTATTTAGCAGCTGCAAGCACTAAAAAGAATAGAATACAAAATATATCGTATGAATGCATGGGATCATCCTCACTGGCTGATAAACAATGGCACATTGGCTGTAAATGGTGTGTCGGACCGCTCGGACTGCGCAGACAAATACCGAGTCCAATGATGATCACCAAGCCAATATTTTGACGAAAAAACTTTACTTATTCTGAATATTATGAATTCCGATGACGACATAATCTGGGGGTCCACTGTACAAAGCGTACTGTATACAGTCTCTCCTCACTTAACGATGGAGTTCCGTTCCTAAGACCACGTCGGTAAACAAATTCATCACTAAGCAAGGAGCATACTATACTGGTAGTGGGTTTGTGACAATCATCTCTGATAGTGTTTTAATGTTACCTTTGCACCATTTATAACATCTTTAGTAAACTGTATTTTTAAATCTTTATACAATAGAGTACTGTATATTGTAATAAACAGAATAGAGGAAATCAGCTCTAATATACAGTATTTAGGTATGCATACTGGTCAGAGAGCCCGTCGTAAGTCCGAGTCATCGGTAAACGAGTATGTCGCTAAGTGAGGAGACGCTCTATGTAGAAAGAAGCTGAAGCTCCATTTACATGTCATATATAATTGTATACCAACTACATGAAACATATCTGGTCTTGACACTGTACCTGCATTGATGCTAACAACATCTGGATCATAAAGACCATCCACTGCAAGAAGTTGACACGAGAGATGGGTATCACCACAGTAGCCCACAGGAAACAATGGACGAACAGAGCGATCTGTGTAATTGATCAAGTCAGAACTTTGCACACGAGTCGACTCTTTATTTTACACATTTTTAATTTTATATTTATCAGGAAAATAATTTTTTTAACTACAATTCTTTATTAAGAATTAAAAGAGGGGAATATAACCATGTGTTAGATTTTGGCTTTTCAGTTACATTTAATTACACTGTATTTTAATTACAGTATAGCAGAATACAGTATTGGCTTTAAAATATTATTGACGATGCTTTCTGTAATAAGGATCATAACCCGTAAGTTTAATTGTAATAGGTGAAAATTTAAAATTTTGATGAAATAGTTAAAAACTTGGAATCTTTGGAAACATCAATCAGTGAAGAATTCCTTTTCCAATCGTCTTCAAACTTGTGTAATACAGTACAAGAGCCATATTTTTGTCAGTAACAGTAAAGTGCAATAAGACAGGAAATTTGCCACTGATGTAGAACACAAGAATTTTGCAGCAATATTTAATACCAAGAGAAAATAAACACACCAATAATTCTACTAGTTAGGACTTCCTTCTCAGTTGGTGCAAGCTCTCTTCGCAAATAATTAGAAGGAATACGGCCGGCAGCAGCATATTTTTGTCGGTAATCCACTGTGAGAGGCATAAACCCTGGGAAGGGTCCAGACCGAGGTTTACTCACAGCAGTGATAAGGACTGAAGTATCGCCTAGTTTAGCAACTGCAGCACCATCTGCTAAACGAGCATATTCTCCAGTCTCTATGTACATTGTCCTCCTGTAAAAATTATTATTAAGTTGAGAACTAATAATCAACAAACATGTACTGCAATTGAAAACATCATTTTTAATAACATGGGTTGGCATACAGAAATTTTTGCCACTTCCAAACAGAGTTATCTACTGAAATCCAATGGCTGAAGAAAATATGATCAAGGAAAATTAAAATTAGCCTTTATGCTTGAATGATATTTACAATAAGAATAATTTAGTAATTTTTTTTTTACTTTATTGACAGTACACACAGGGAGAAAGATGATTTATACAAGGGTCTCTATATGGGTTTGTTGAAAAAAAAAAAAAGACTCAACAGAGGTGAAATAATTAATACAGGTTTTTGACCAGGGATAACAAGAAGTTTCCAGATACAAATGCAGTTCTGATGAATAACAGCCAGTCCAGCAAGTGTTGCTGTGGAAACAAAGGAATATACTTTGCTTTCATATTCTGGTTCAGATAATCACAATGGAAAATGATGACAGCCTCAGGAAAAACGAGACAAAATTTGGAGCAAATTCAATCTACTCCGACATGCAGCTTTCAGAGAGTTATGCAATGTATTCATGATATACGGCAATCAAAGAAGCATCAGTTAGGAATTTATATAAAAGTTTAGCAAGACAGAACAGAAGAACCATACAGAGAGACACAGCACTTGATGGAGCGTGATATCACCCAACCAAAAGTATAGTCAGAGCCACACAGTACCAACCCCCACAAGAAGATACCTGAGGGGTGGGAGGAATAAAATCCCTTTAAGAATTGTGCCCATGGGAATTTTGAACCCCAAATTTAATTTAATTTATATTAATTTTATATACTACAATGTATTATGATTGTACAGTATTATCTAATTATTATATAGTAAGCATTCTTATAAAGCTCCTCTACAGTGAGATATATTGTAAATGCAACTGAAAAAGTTCATGTACAATAAAGGCCTTTCCATGTGCTATTCAATTTTGAATGTACAGCCTTACAAATTTATTAACTTTTTTCACTAAGGTATTTAAGGAGGTAGATCATGGTAATGAATATGATATTGTGTATATGGACTTCAGTTAGGCTTTTGATAGAGTCCCACATCAGAGACTATTGAGGAAAATTAAGGCACACGGAATAGGAGAAATTTTTTCCTGGGTAGAGGCATGGCTGACAAATAGGCAGCAGAGAGTTTGCATAAATGGGGAGAAATCAGAATGGGGGCACGTCACAAACGGTGTTCCACAGGGGTCAGTGTTGGTCCTGTTGTTGTTCACAATTTACATAAATGACATAGATAAGGGAATAAATAGTGACATAAGCAAATTTGCTGATGATACCAAAATAGGCCGTCCAATTCATTCTAATGAGGACACTAGAGCACTCCAGGATGATTTGAATAGACTGATGCAATGGTTGGAGAAGTGGTAGATGCAGTTTAATACTGACAAATGCAAAGTTCTGAATGTTGGACAGGTAAATAACCATGCCACATTTTTTTTTTTTTTTCAACAAGTCGGCCGTCTCCCACCGAGGCAGGGTGACCCAAAAAAGAAAGAAAATCCCCAAAAAGAAAATACTTTCATCATCATTCAACACTTTCACCACACTCGCACATTATCACTGTTTTTGCAGAGGTGCTCAGAATACAACAGTCTAGAAGCATACACATATAAAGATACACAACATATCCCTCCAAACTGCCAATATCCCAAACCCCTCCTTTAAAGTGCAGGCATTGTACTTCCCATTTCCAGGACTCAAGTCCGACTATATAACTATAAACTAAACTATAAACTATAAACTATAAACTATAAACTAAATAATGTAAATCTTAATATTACTGATTGTGAAAAGGATTTAGGAGTTCTGGTTAGCAGTAATCTGAAACCAAGACAACAATGCATTAGTGTTCGCAATAAAATTAACAGAATTCTTGGCTTTATATCAAGAAGTATAAATAATAGAAGTTCTTCAACTCTATATATCTTTGGTTAGGCCTCATTTAGATTATGCTGCACAGTTTTGGTTACTGTATTACAGAATGGATATCTTCCCTATGAGGATAGACTGAGGGCCCTGAACTTGCACTCTCTAGAAAGGCGCAGAATTAGGGGAGATATGATTGAGGTGTATAAATGGAAAATAGGAATAAAGGGGATGTAAATAGGGTGCTAAAAATATCTAGCCTAGACAGGACTCGCAGCAATGGCTTTAACTTGGAAAAATTCAGATTCAGGAAGGATATAGGAAAGCACTGGTTTGGTAATAGAGTTGTGGATGAGTGGAACAAACTAAACTCCCAAATACCATCATAGAAGCTAAAAAGTTGTGTAGTTTTAAAAATAGCTTATACATATACATGAGTGGGTGTGGGTGGGTGTGAGTTGGACCTGACTAGCCTGTGTTAGTAGGTCAGATGCCATGTTCCTCCCTTAAGAGAATGTGACCTGACCTGACTAGGTTGGGTCAGCGGCATAAGCCAGGTGACTTGGGCCTGCCTCGCATGGGCCAGTAGGCCTACTGCAGTGCTCCTTGTTCCTTATGATCTTATGTGGGTTGCATCCTGGGGAGAATTAGAGGACCCCAGTGGATATAAGACACAACCCTCAATGACATCCTGACTTTATTGGATTATCACTTGTTACTAACCCTTCAGGTCAATAATCAGAACAAAATATATTCTTCCTCATATTCCCTGGATCAAGAGCCCTTCACCGGCACCAAGGCACTCATAAAAGAACGTAAATAACACAACTGGTAGATGGTCGAGCTACAACCTGACACGAGTCAATATAACAGTATAAATATGGTTGTCTAATATTTTAAGAGTATTATTGGTACCATTATAATTAACAATAAAATTACCCTCATTTACCCATTAGAGAATTCTGCCCGAGTTTCAAACTTATCATAATGACGAGCACAAGTTGATATACATCTGTACTGTCTTGTATATTTTAATGTTCTCCAAGACTTGGTAAATTGTCTATAAACTTTATGCATTGTGACTGCTGTAACAAAGTGATGTTGTTTGTTAGTTAGTTTGTTCTTTGTTGGGTTTATCTCAGCCACCAGCAGTGTGTTGTTGTTGTTGTTGTTGGGTTGTAGGGCTGCGACGGTCCCAGCACCGGGAGAACTCGCTGCTGTCAGTAAGTTTATTTAGACACAGGTACAGGAGTCCCTGGACTGTTTTCACCTATATGTGGTTGCAGGGGTCGATTCACAGCTCCTGGCTCAATCTCTCTGCTGGTCTCTACTAGGTTCACTCTCTCCCGGTTACAAGAGACCCCGATGATAATAAGTCACTTTGACTTTTTTTTTTGGGTTATCCCAGGTTCTCTACACATATGTTGCTATGTATGATAATCTATGTAAATGTATTTGTGTATACCTGAATAAACTTATTTATGAATTCAGCGGTGAATGCTGGGCATGGTGGGGCTCTGGTGGCCTGGTGGGTAACGCTCTAGCTTCACACGGTAAGGGTCTGTGTTGGATTCCCAGCGAGGGTAGAAACATTGGGCGTGTTTCTTTACACCTGTTGTCTATGTTCCCCATCAGTAAAATGGTTACCTGGGTGTTAGTGGACTGGTGTGGGTCGCATCCTGGGACACTGACCTAATTTGCCCGAAATGCTGAGCATAACAAGTGGCTTTCTATATAGTTTACCTGGAGAGAGTTCCGGGGGTTAACGCCCCCGCGGCCCGGTCTGTGACCAGGCCTCATGGTGGATCAGGGCCTGATTAACCAGGCTGTTACTGCTGGCTGCACGCAATCCAACGTACGAACCACAGCCTGGCTAGTCAAGTACCGACTTTTGGTGCTTGTCCAGTGCCTGCTTGGTGTTTAGTCAAATCAGATCAAATCAAATCAAGTTTATTCTCCATAAGGATTACAATGCTGAGTTTACAGAATTTGGATATTGTGTGGTTTACATGTTTTAAAATACTAATTACAGAGGGGGCCACTAGGACACCTAGCATGGCTAGGCATTTCGGGCAGACTTAGATTAATTCTTAACTTTAAAATATTACAAATTATGAGGTAAGTTGGTATTATGGCTAAGTGACTAAATACTAGTTTGTGAGTTTAGCAATGTGAATGCTTTTGTTTTCGCACAATACATAGTTTCAGTATTGGAGTATCACAGGCCAACTTATGACTAGTTAGGATTCATTATTTTAAGATTAAGATTAATATTTCTGTTTATGGTCAAATGGGTGAGTGAGTGTAAGTGTGAACCACCAGGTGGTATTCGTGTAATTAGTTGACAGGGTGTATCAGGGAGATAAGATGTTTTCTGATGGTAGTTTTGAAGGTGATGAATGTGTCTGCAGTTCTAGAGTTCTCAGGTAGGGTGTTCCAGATTTTAGGGCCTTTGACATACATTGAATTTTTGTAAAGGTTTAGTCGGACACGGGGAATGTCATAGAGATGTTTGTGTCTGGTGTTGTGCCTGTAAGTCATTGATGTCAGCTAGGACTGTATACCTTGTACATGTACTTGTAGTAAATAAAGATATTATTATTATTATTATTATTATTATTATTATTATTATTATTATTATTATTATTATTATTGTTTTAGAGGCCACGGAGATTCCAGGACCGACTGTACTCACTGTTGACTGTTGGGTTGTAGAGCTACGACGGTCCCAGGACTGTATGAAGTTCAGTTTCAGATTTATTTCAGCATGATATACCAAGCAATAAAGTGGTTATAACTATGATTATAATTTTTAAAGGAGTGGATCGGTAATCCAGGGTAAGGCCTCGGTCAGATGATCAAAAGCTCCAATAATGGGTCATCATCTTGGCTAAGACCCGCGTCAGGAGACACTTGTCCTGTTTCCTGACGAACCTTACGTAACCTAAGCATGATATAATGTTTATACACAGATGGGTGACATTTAGGTGTACATGGATTACATGACTATAATGGTCCCAGAATCGTGAGAACTCACCACTTAACAAACCATACCACGGGTGGGGTTTGAACCCACGGTCAGAGAGTCTCAAAACTCCATACCGTCTGTAAAAACTTTAATTTGTGGTCACAGTGGTGCCTATGCTAACCTTCCTATGGCGTAGAAATATACCTAGTTGGATGAATCTTATTGAAGCTAACTGGCCCAGTGGCTAACGCGACGGTCTGGAGTTTTGAGACTCTCTGACCACGGGTTCAAACCCACCGTGGTATGGCTTATTTACAAATGTGTCATTACGATTTCGTGAGTCACCGCTTAAGGTTGGGTTTAGGGGTTAAGATGATTTTGCTTTAAATATCCTGCTTAATTAAAGGTCACCGAGTCAGTTTTAAATTGTGCTATTATTCATTTAGCTACCTTTGTTGGGCTTTTTAACCCGGAGGGTTAGCCACTCTGGATAGCCCAAGAAAGTAAGTGATTCATTGAGGACTGTCTGTCTTGTTTCCATTGGAGTCCTTTAAATCTTGGCTCCCAGGATGCGACCCACACCAGTCGACTAACACCCAGGTACCTGCTAAGTGCTAAGTGAACAGGGGCAGTAGATGTAAGGAAACATGCCCAACATTTACACTCATGCTGGGTACTGAACCACGGGACACCATAAATGTCGAGCGTACATGTTCTCTTGTATCAATGTACAGGTAACCTACAGCCCCCGAGTTATTTTAATAATTTTATGTGCCCTCATTTCGTACTTTTCCCTTCCTCGGGAATTTTCAGGCTGCTCGTTTGCTGGGTAATATCTAAGTTTTGTCTAGATTAAGTAGTGTCCGATGGCATATCGCTAAAGCTACCCTTTTCACAGGGTAAGGGTCTGTGTTGGTTTCCCCAGCGAGGGTAGAAACTTTGGGGTGTTTTTTTCTTTACACCGGGTTTGTCTTTTTTTCCCCCATCAGAAAAAATTCCCTGGGTTAGTGGACTGGGTGGTCGCACCCCGGGGGACACGACCTAATTTGCCCAAATGCCTGCATAACAAGGGGACTTTCCATATAGTAGTGTCGTGTGTCAGTATGGTCTGTATATTTGTAATGTACTTGAAATAAATAAAGATTTTTTGTGGAACATACGAAAATTATTTTCCAGAAATACAGTGTTTATGTAAATGATGGCCATACTTTTTTTTACTGTTTTTAAATAATTTTTTATTCATGAAAAGGGGAAGCTGCTTGCGCAGGAGAGTCGCCATTTTGTTTGAATGGAGTTAACGTTAATAAGTTACCTGGAGTTTACCTGGAGAAAAATTAGGGGGGATAGTACGAATTGCACACGAAAATCACTCATACGAAAGCAAAGATTTGGGCAGACATGCAACACCCCCAAGAAAAGCGGGGGTGTCACAGCACGTTAAGAGAATACAAAAGTGTCAGGGGCCCGAGACTGTTCAACTGCCTCCCAGCATACAAGGGGGATTACCACAACCCCGGCATCTTCAAGCTGGCACTGGAAAGCCCTAAAATCGGTTCCTGACCACCCGGGCTGTGTCGTAGGGCGGGTTTGCTGCAGCCAGCGCCAGCCTGGTTGATCAGGCTCTGATCCCCCAGGAGGCCTGGTCACAGCCCCGGGGGGGCGGGGGCGTTGACCCCCCGGAACTCTCTAGGTAAAACCCCAGGAGAGATTTCCCGGGGGTCAACGCCCCCGGGGGGCTTGCCAGTGCCATTGAAGACTGCCAGGGGTCTTTTGGTAATCCCCCTTTAGTAGCTGGGAGCATTTAACACCCGGGCCCCCCTGCCCCTATTTATGGTCTCTTAACGTGCTATAACCCCACTGCTTTTCTTGGGGGAGTTGGCTTTCTCCAATTTTTGCTTTCGTAGTGAGTGATTTTCGGTGAATTTCGGTACTAGCCCCTTGGGGATTTTCCAGGGGTATATAATCATGTATCTCTCCTGCCTGCATTCCGGGAATCAGGTTTGGGAACCTCAAGCGCCCCCAGTAATTGAGGGGTTTTTTCTCCCTTATGCGCGCCGTGAAGGTTCTCTGTACATTTTCTAGGTCAGCAATTTCACCTTCCTTGAAAGGTGCTGTTTGTGTGCAGCAATATTCCAGCCTAGATAGAACAAGTGACCTGAAAACTGTCATCATGGGCTTGCCTACCTGTTTTGAAAATTCTATTTTCCTCCTTTTATTTTTCTAGCAGATGGCCCCTTTATACAATGTTATGGTCCTGAAGGTGAGATCCTCCGACTGATCACTCCCGGTCTTTGCGTTTTGGGGTTTTGCTTATTTTGTGGGCCCAAAAGTGTTTTTTACTCTGATGAAATTTTAATTTCCTCGTGTTTACCATATCTATAATGAAAATTTTCTCTTAACTTCATATTGTTTTTTTTGCACCCCCCCCCTGAAGATTTTGGTTGATGTTCCCCCTGGAGCCTGCGTTCTGCAAGGAAGACACTGTCATGCAGATTCGGGTGTCACTGCAAAGGAAGACCGGTTTCCCGTGGCTGACATCCTTGCTATTTCAATAGAGGATGAGGAACAAGATGGGAGCGAGTACTGTGCCTTGTGGAACAGAGTTTTTACCGTAGCTGCTTGAACTTTACTCTGTTGATTTCACCTTTTTCTGTTTGTGAGGAAAATTTTGATCCATCGACCGACTTTTCCCGTTTTTCCTTTAGCACGCATTTTTTGCCTTTTACGCCTGGCACACTTGTCGAAGGCTTTTTTGCAAATCTGTATATGTTACATCTGCATTTTTTTTGTCTTCTAGTTCATCTAGGGCCTTTCGTAGTGATCCAATAGTTGAGACAGCAGGACGACCTGTTCAAACCCATGTTGCCCCGGGTTGTGAACTGATGGGTTTTTTAAAGCGTGGTGATCTTGCTTTTAGGACCCTTTTAAAAATTTTATGATATGGGATGTTAGTGCTATGGTCTGTATTCTTTGCTGTTGCTTTACTGCCCCCTTTTGGAGGGGGCTTGTCTGTTTTTTTTTAGTAATGTGGGACACCCCTGTGTCCATGCTCCCTCTCCATAGATAAAAAGGGCCCTCGTGATAGGGTTTCTTGCAGTTCTTGAGAACATGGAGTTCATATTTGGCCCCGGGGGCAGGGCAGGGGCATGTCATTATCGCCTGTTCAAGTCTTTTGGGCGTCGGGAAAACATGGGATAGGCTTGTTTTTAAACCAAAATTCTGTGGCTCTC